GATATGATGCGTTATGAATTGATATGCTATGCTATGGTATACTATGATATGCTGCGCTGTGCTATGATATGCTATGCTATGCTGCGCTATGCTATGATATGCTGCGATGTGCTATGCTAAGCAATGCTATGCTATTATATGCTTTGCTGCGCTATGCTATGCTATGCGATGCGATGCTGAGCTATGCTATGTTATGATATGCTATGATTGGCTCTGCTATGCTATGCTATGCTGTGCTGATGCTGCGCTGCGCCATGCTGCGCTGCGCTAAATTCAGCTAAGGTAAGCTAAGCTGTGCTAACCTAAACTGAGCTAAGCTCAGCTAAGCTAAGCTAGGCTAATTAGGCTAAGCTAAGCTAAGCCAAGCCAAGCCTAGCCAAGCTAAGCTAAGCTAAATTAAGCTAAGCTAAGCTAAGATGCTATAAGCTAAACTAAGCTAAGCTAAGATGAGATAAGCTAAGCTAAGCTAAGCTAAGATAAACTAAGCTAAAACTAAAGCTAAAGCTAAAGCTACGCTAAGCTAGGCTAGACAAAGCTAAGCTGAGCTAAGCTAAGCCAAGCTAATATGAGATATGCTAAGCGCTAAGCTAAACTAAGCTAAGCTAAGCTTAGCTAAGCTAAGCTGGGTGAACCCAGGGGGCGCGACTGGGGGAACCGCGGGGCGGGGACTGGGGGAACCGCCCGGGGCGCTTTACACTGCCCGGCCCCTTTAAGCTAAGAGAGTAAGAACCCTCTAGGCAGAGCCTAGGTAGGGAAAAAGGAACATGTGAATTCACATGTTGGGAATAATGAAAAGATGATTTCTTGGAAAAAAAGGAACATGTTAATTCACATGTTGGGAGAAGCGCGGGACCTATTCCAAATCTGTCTTGGGGGTCGATCAGTCATCGTTTGGGAACATACTCGATCATCAATCGCACAATCAAGACACACTTGCACTCAACTTCGCCGCCCCATCGCAAGGTGCAAGAACGCCCGCGCGCATGAACGATAGTGGATGGACTGCGCGTTTGCCCTCGCGGGCAACGCGCGGGCACGAACGAGTGGCCCTCCATGACCGCCAACATGTGATGCTAATCATACCCGATCACATACATGAGCGATACATTGAGCACACATGGGCCATTCAGCCCCCATTGAAGACCCCCTGTTGGAGACCCCCTCTTTCACCCTCCAGGCGACGCGGCGGCGATGCGGCGCGAGCCTCACAAACCCCCTCTGCTCAGACCCCGCGTGGGCGGCCCAGGGGGCCCCGCGATCAGAAGCCAGAAGGGGGGGGGGGAGTCGAAGAGGACAGCACGGCATACAGCAGACTTCTGGAGCTCCGCGCGGAGTTTCTCGGATTGGCGCCGGGCCCCCACCCCCTTGTCGGCGCTTCGGGCGCTGCTCCTGGCGCGCTCCGCGCGCCGGGGGGGGGGATCGGATCGAGCGCGGATCCAACAAGTCCAGGCGGACATCCGAAAGCTGCAGTTCATGCGTGGGGGGAGGTGACTGCCGCTGCCCATCAGAAACAAAGCATGGCAGGAGGCTTTTTGCACTTTTCGGCCCTTGGGGGCCCATGACAGTCAGAAACGGCGCAGGGTGAAGAACCGGTCCAAGGAAAAAGTCGGGACTTCCATTGATTTTCTATTCAGCATGCTTTCCTCGTGGGTTGGACCCCGTGATTACACATCAGGACGTCGCCTGTCTGGGCTTGTCGCCGCTGCTGAACTTGCCTCGGGATCCTGGCCAGACCGACCCTCCCCAGGAGAGCTGTGGAGTGGCGACGTGGGTATTGGTACTTTTTTATCCTCTCGGCAAGAAAGGAAGCGGGCTCGGGCCGCCAAAATCAGTGTCGCACTGGGGTTTTAGGACCACTGCTGCATGCCGCTGGTTTCGGCCAGGGAGCTGGGCGCTTTCCTTCATACGTGGTCGCCTCCGTTGCCGGAGGGAGTCAGAGGAGGAGGGCAAGCAGTGGCGAAGCGTCCTGGCTCGTCGATAGGCAGAGAGCGTCATGAGAACCTCGTGTGGTCTGCACGACATGATTTTAGAGCACGTCTGGCGGACAGTGTCTTGCTTTCGCACGTCGGGCGCGGTTGCTTTCGGAAAGCATGTTTGGGTTATGATCACATGCCGTGGGTTGGCCTCTAGGAGTGCCGGGACGGCCGGTCCCTGCTCCAGGGAGGTGCCGAGACATCTGCTTCTCCATCGGCTTCGCCTTCTGTGGACTTCCATGGGGGGTCCCTCGCCGCCCTGCCCGGCGGGGGCCCTCGTGGCCACGGCGGGGGCCCCCGCGGACCCCAGGCTCTCCCCCACGAGAGGGGGAGCGGGCTCGGTCCGCCCAAATGGGGTCAGAGGATCGCGCCGCAGCGCCGATTCATCGACGATGCGGCGTGGTCCCGAGCGTGATCTTCTCCGTCGTGGCGTCGCCTGTTGCATCGGGGCGCCATCCCCCCCGGCCCATCCGGCCGGCCTCCAGGGGGATCCTGATCTGGCGGAGGCTGGATCAGTTGCATTATGGTGGCACGGGGGCAGGTCGTAGCCGTGTGCGCAGGCAGGCGCGGCGGCCTTGACTTCGCAGGCTTTCGCACTCTCGGTCTGTTATGTCGCGTTCTCGCGCGGCCCGATTCGGCGGGGTCACGGATTCGGTCACATGCAGTTGGATTCGGTTCCACCGCAAAGCATTCGAGATGATACTCGTTACACATCTTTTGTATGGTTTCTCATCGCGTTTGCAGGCCCTCGAATAGCCAGCTTCACGTAGCCAGTTCGCTACCCTCCCACTTGGAGAGAGGTCCGTCTCGCGCTCACCCTTGGCAGGTGGGCGTCGCCAACTGGGTCGCCGTGGAGATCATGCGTGACCGCGTGTTCGACATCTTCACGCAGATGGTGTTCCACTGCGTGCCGAACTTGTGCGTGGTCGGCGGCGACGCGTCCGACCTCCTCACGCGCCGCGTCGAGAGCTGCTCGGAGGGGCTGGGAGGGGGGAAGCTGCGCAGAGCGAGAAGGCTGTCAGTTGGCCCCCGCCTGGAGGTTTTGGGCACCAGCGCCAAGACTGGGGGGTGTCTCCAGAGGGGGGAGATGATGCCAGATGTTGGTGTTGGTGGTGGTAGCTATGCCATCTACGAGGCCCGAACATACCCCGTCCTACACCCCTGGCCCGTTTCTCGTCCTGCTGTCGCTCCCTTTCTTCGCCCCCCCCGGTCCCCCATCTCTCGTCCCCCTCGTCTCCTTCTCCCCCACGAGTAAGTGCTCCCCATCTTCCATCCCTTCCCGACGAGAAGGAGGGGGGGCATGATGGAGGGAGAGTGGGTGGGACCGCGAGCGCGGGGAGACGTGAGGCAGTAGGAGGAGGAGGAGGAGGAGGAGGAGGAGGAGGAGGAGGAGGAGAACCAGTGTAAACCCAAGACTCGTCAACGATTTTGGAATCAACCCTCTTCCCAAGCTGCCACTTCATAGGGCTCGACATATTCATTCCCACAGATGGAACTACCTCGTTGGAAGACAGCCGTTGGAAGATCCTGAAGCGTGCCAAAGCCCCAGTCTCCAGACTCCAACGCCGCGAATCAACCGAGGAGAAGGAAGAGAACGAGGACGAGGACGGGGACGAGGTCCGGGACTAGCACAGGGGACGAGAGGAGGGCATCCGCCTGCCCCGTCCCCTGGAGACCTGACGCGACGGACAACTCGACATCGCCGTCGCCTTCCCAGGAAGGGATTCAACGTCTTCCCCTCCCTGATGCCTCTTTAAGGCTTTGGGATGTCCTCGTCGGCGCCACAACCGAGGCCACTCCGACATCCTCGTCAGAGCGCGCTTCGGGAGGGGTGGCCGGGGCTTTTGAGGTGGGGGGAGGGCTCGAGCGAGCTTGGGGCAGCACGGCACGGCCTGTGGATCTTGTGGACGGGGAGGTGGAGGGTGAGTTGGGGTCCGACGGGAGGGCAGATGATGATGATGATGATGATGATGATGGTGATGATGATGATGATGATGATGATGATGATGATGATGATGATGATGACGAGGATGATGATGATGATGATGATGATGATGATGATGATGATGATGATGATGATGCTGATGCTGATGCTGATGGTGATGATGATGTTGCTAATGCTGCTGATGATGCTGATGATGATGCTGATGATGATGCTGATGATGACGATGATGCTGACGATGCTGATGATGATGATGATGATGATGATGATGATGATGATGATGATGATGATGGTGATGGTGATGGTGATGGTGATGATGATGATGATGATGATGATGATGATGGTGCTGGTGCTGGTGCTTGTTCTGCTGATGATGTTGATGCTGATGATGCTGATGATGATGGTGATGATACTGATGCTGCTGCTGCTGATGATGATGATGCTGATGATTCTGATAAGGAGGAGTTGGACGAGGTGGAGGAGGAAGAGGACGAGGAGGAGGAGGAGGAGGAGGAGTGGATCAAATGGAAGGAGGAAGGAGGAGGAGGGAGAGGAGGAGATGGGGGAGGAGGAATAGGGATGATAAGCTAGGTCTCTCGCGGGGGCGCGAAAATAATCGCGCTTGTCTCGTCGCGCTCTGAGCCAGCGAGGCTGCCCTTCTCCCAGGGGGCGGCGCGATGTCGCGAGCGCGCGAAATTTGGTGTCTTACGAAGACGAGGAGGAGGTCAAGAAGGGGAAGCGGGAGAGGGTGAGGTGGCTGATGTCTTCATCAATTTCCCGGAGCCGCCCCACGTCACTGGCTGCGAGGAGATCTGGGGATGACCCCCATCCCTCCCCACCCCGCTCCCTCCCTGTTCTCCTTCCTGCCTCTTCCCCTCCCCTCCCTAACCTGTCGGGATGGTGAGCAGGGCTCAGCATGGTCAGATCTATGGGGCCGGCTTCCTCATCACCCCGACGGAGACGAGCGGAGGGAGGGAGCTATGGAGCCAGGGCAGAAAAGCGGCATGGAGAAGTAGGAGTCAAAGAGGAAACACGTATTCAAACACAAACACCCGCAGGGCCACGCGGATTTCCCGGATCGGCTCTGGGCCCCCCCTGGCGGTGCCCCCCGCGCCGCCCCTCTGACGACCACCCTGGCGCGATCCGCGCGCCAGGCAGGGGGTCCAGTGCCGATCCAAGAAACCCGCGCGGGCCATCCAGAGTTCATGCTGACATTGGCTTCCGCTGAGGTGGAGGTGGGGAGCAAAGTCGAGGGGAGGAGGGGAGAGGGGAGGTCCAGGAGCAGGGCGCGGTAGCAAAGTCGAGGGGAGGAGAGGAGAGGTCCAGGGGCTCGATGGAAGAATGAGGAGCAGACGGACCGGTGCAGCGCGTGGAGGCCAGAGAAGACATCGAGGATGCGGTGACTGATGATTGCGGGGAGGCAGCGGCAGCAGCATCCGCAGCGCAGCAGCAGCGGCACAGCGAGAGGGACCAGGAGGAGTAAGAGCAGCAGGAGGCGGTCCAGGGGCGGGCAGGAGCAGGAGCACGAGGCGAAGGGCGGCCCACCCTCCGCCGCTTCCTCCTCCACCCTCCGCCTCCGCCTCGCCCTGCTGGAGGCATGGAGGCATCTGTCAAAGGCAGTCCGTTCTGGAGCCAGTTTCTGAAGCATCGCTCCGATCCCTACAAGATCTCGGCGCCCTCGACCACGCAGACGCTCCGCCTCCGCCTCGCCCCGCTGGAGGCGAGGAGGCATCTGTCAAAAAGCAGTCCGTTCTAGAGAGCCATCGTTTCTGGAGCATCGCTCCGATCATTTGCAAGATCTCAGTGCCCTCGACCACGCTGGACTTGTGGGGCATCGGGCAGCTCTGTATCCCACGCGACTGGGGGGGGGAGAAGAAAGAAACTGCATAAGCATAAACTTTCGGCGCTCGGCGCGGATTTCTTGGATCCGCGCTGGACCCCCCTCCCTGGCGCGCTTCGCCGTTTCTTCTTCTTCTATAGTTGAGATTCATAGTAAGGACTCACGGATGACCTTGGGTTATGACGTTCCAACTTACTTTAGCCTGAATCACCAGAAAGAGCTTCGACCACCACGATAGTACCGAAACTGCAGGGTTTTCACGTGTCGGGACCTGGGAGGCGACACTCGTTCGACACTGTTTCGGCACCTCGGGGTGCTCGAAATCATTTTTGGGATGTTGTCCTCCAGTACGACGGGAGGTACAGAAGCCTTGGGGTACCCTCGCGTCCTTGCCTCTGCAGGAGGAGTGTTCAAAAGTAGTAGAAAAATAGCCTGGGGACGACTCTTTAAGCATTTGTTGGCCATTTCGGTGTATGTTTGTAGGATTATTGTAATGGCCTCCGGCCAGTGCCGCCGATCCGGGGCGCTCCCGATGCGTGTGGGAACGGACGATGACGACGACGACGACCGACGACCGGGTCAACGACGGACGATGATGACGACGACGTCCCTCCTCCCCCCGCTGCCCTCCCCGGTTTCTTGGACCCCCCCCCCCCGCTTGAGCTCGACCCCCCCCTCCGTCCCCGCTCGAGCTTCCTCCTTGGACCCCCCCCCTCCCGCTTGAGCTCGACCCCCCCCCCCGTCCTCGCTCGAGCTCCCCCCCCCTCGATTCTTGGACCCCCCCCCCCGCGCTGAACCCCCCCCCCCCGCTTGAGCTCGACCCCCCCCTCCGTTCGACCCCCCCCCCCCCGTCCTCGCTCGAGCTCCCCCCCCCTCTCGATTCTTGACCTCTCCCCCCCGCGCTGACCCCCCCCCGCTTGAGCTCGACCCCCCCCCGTCCTCGCTCGAGCTCCCCCCCCCTTCTCGATTCTTGGACCCCCCCCCGCGCTGGAGCGTTCAGTGAATTGCGTGGATAATTCGCCGGATCCCGACCCCCCCCCACCCAGAGCGAAGCATGAGCGAGCTCAAGCCCACGCTCTCAGAAACTCACACGCCGGATCGGCGTCCAGAATCCCCCTGTAGGGGGTCACGCCCGACTTAGGCCTTGGGGTACCCTGGCGTCCTTGCCTCTGCGGCCCGTCCTCCGCGGTTTCCGCTGGCCAGCCCCTCGGAGTGCCGGCCACCCCGCCGCCCAAGGAGTGCCAACTTCGGCGTCCGTGGCCCTGGCGTCCTTACCGCTAAGTCGTGCCTGCCTCTCTACAGGAGGAACATCCCGAAATTGTCAAAAATAATATGGGGACGATTTTTTCTCCCTATTTCTGACCACTTTGGAGCATGTTTGGGGTATTTTGCAGTTGTCGCCCACTATCCGCCTGTAGGGGGGGGGACACGCCCGACCTACCCTTCCGCCCGTCCGTACTGTAGATTCCGATGCCGCTACTCCCTGGACCTTTCCTGGGTCGCGTTCTGACCAGGATTCCAGGGCGAACCCAGAGGTGGGGACGAGGGCCGCCCGGGAGGCCCCCCAGAGGGGCATACACAAGCCGAGGGTACTCAGAGGAGGAAAAGGCATCCATACCCCTACTAGGGGTATGGATGCCTTCTCTTCCTCTGAGCATGGGGGTCCGGCGAGGACGCCGAGTCCAGCCTCCACCTGCTCACCGGCGGCTTCCTGCGGGAGGTGCACCGGGTCCTGGTGCCCGACGGCGCCGCCGCCGACCCCCCCGGCTGCCTCTGGGGCCCGCCTCCTCTCCGCCTCGGGCCCTCGGGCCGGGCCTCAGTGCGCACCCCTCGCTCCCTGGCTCCGTCTTCGTCGTCGTCCTCCTCCCCCTCCTCTTCCTCCTCCTCCTCCTCCTCCTCCTCCTCGTCCTTCTCCCCCTCCTCCTCCTCCTCCTCCTCCTCCTCCTCCTCCTCCTAGCCATTTCCAGGTTTCAAGGTTGTAACTTTTGGGTCGGCGCACTTGGAAGTGGCGCAGCCGACTCGAGCCTAAAGTCTGAGATTCTACATGTCACCCCATGATGCGTCGGGGCAGGGCCAGAGCAAGACCTGGCAGTGTCGCGACTCAACGTGTGCCTTCGCCAACTTTCTCTTCAGGTCGGCCTGTCGGGAGTGCGGTTCGAAGGCGCCGCTACATGTTATCAATCGTCAACGAGAGCAGCGGCAGCAGAAAGCCTCGGGTTGGACTGGCAAGTCGCAGCGGGGCAATGCCTGGCTCAACGGTCCTCCCGCCTTCCAGAGCCAAGGCGGCTCAAGGGCTGGAGGGCGAGCCAATCCCAGTACCGCGGAGCTATCAAATGATGACCTCATCAAGCTGCTCAAGTCACGAGGGCTTCAAGCGGGCTCGGAGCTTGACACCAAGCTCACCGAAGTGCTCAAGAAAGCGGAGGAGCCTTGGCCAGCAGACCTCGGCTCCAAAGGGTTTCAGGACCTGCTCCAGAGGCAGTCGCGGAAGCTCAAGCAGATTGAAGGTTCCACCGAGAGAGTGCAGAATGCCAAGGCCGCGCTCGAGGACGCGCAGCGTGTCTACGAGCAGGAGTGCCAGCAGCTCGAGGCTCACCAGGACACCCTCTCGGAGATCGACAAGTTCATCAAGAAGGCCCAGGCCGCCACCGTCCTGCCAGAGCCGCCTGAGCAGGATGGCGAGCCTGATCCAATCCATGAGCTCCAGATGCTTGAAGTGTTGGAGCTGGCTGTCAAGAAGTACACTTCACGCTTCGCCATCGATGCCACTGCGGTCCTGGAGGCCACGGAGGCGAAGAAGGCGGAGTTCTGAGCGAAGTTGCCGAAGGCGGAGGGGCCATTCCCACCTCCGCCTGCTACTGGGAATGTTGCTCCTCCTAGTGGCTCAGGGGGGTCAGATCCAGACATCATCGTCCTCGACCCAGACGACAATGAACTCAAGGCCAAGCTCAAGCGAGCAGGGTTCGACTCCGCTGATGATCCAGAGGCCCTGCGCAGGTTCCTTGCAGACGTTGCAGGGCATGCCAAGCGTCAGCGGGTGGGGTAGCAGCCCACCCAGCACATCCAGTTATGTCATTTGGACGCTCAATCCTAGCACGTGGTCAGCTGCGCAGGCCATGCTAGAATGGGCGAAGCATGATCACCAAGGTGTACCAGTCCTACCTGATGGTCTTTGTCTTCAGGAGCACCGTCCCAAGGATGCGTTCAGGCACCAGAGTGCCGTCAAGTGGGCTCAGCAGCGTGGTTTTCAAGCCTCTAGGCCCAAAGCAATCAGTACTGGGTCAGTGCGGGGTGCGCTGTGCTCAGTCAGTTCCCAGCAGATAAGTTGGATTTGAGTTGTGGAAAGGAGCTGCGTCTTCCAGGATTGCGGCATTTATGATCAATGTTGGTCGTTCTATTCCCTTGGTGGTAGCATCAGTATACTTGCACACCAGCGTTGGCCTCGCAGGAGAGAACATTGAGCTCCTGGGTAAGTTGTTTCAAGCAGTTGGCAAGCTTCAGTTCCCCTGGACGGTGGCTGCGGATTGGAAGATGTTGCCAAGAGACGTAGACAAGTGGGCCAAGCTAGTCCAAGGTGAAATCATCGCCTCAGGAGAGCCCACCTGCGGAGCGAGGGAACGCTTTGCACCACTCGAAGCTCGAGAGGATCAGTGGCCGTGGCAGATTGGGTTGCAGTACCCTCCTGACCTTCAGCAAGCCTGTCAAGTTGGGTTTCGGCATGTGGAAGCCTATCTTCTGGAGTTCCAGTACATTCAAGGATGGCGTGGGTAGTCATATGCTGGCAGAGCTGATGGGATAAGAGTTCAGCATGTGGAGCTTGACAAAGCCTGGAATAGTGAATTGCGTCAGGACACCACGATTGAGGGCAGGAAGTGGTCATCATCCTATTCGGCGCGCATGAGGCTGCATGCCATAGGTTCTGGGTCCCGAGCCAAGAAATATTCTCATCTTGCCGCTCAGCAGCGGCAAGAGCGCACGGTCGGCCGAATTAGCATCCCTTCGTGGCCCACCGAGGGGCCGCTCGAGAGGTGGCATCACGCGTCCAGGAGTGCCCTAGTGAGGTTGCTCTCTGATGGAGGGGACGAGGCTCTCTCCTTCCTCCTTGGGTCGAGGGGTCACCTCTCTCACCTCCAAGCGAAGGCCAGGGCGGCTGGCGCCAAAGCCTGGGGGGCATGGGCCAGGGAGGCCTGGGCCAGGGAGGCCGTCAAGAAGCAGGGGGGGCGGGCTGCTTACGCTTATGTTCGAGAGCCTTTGCCTGGCGCGCAGATTTCGTCGGAGACCTCGGAGCTTGCGCCGCCGCTGTCTGTCTCGGGGCAAAAGGCAGTGGACGCGCTTCTAGAGCAGTGGGGGCCGCTTGAGAATGTTCCTAAGAGAGATGGTGATTCCCACCCGAGGTCCTGGTGTCCTGGGGCCCTGCCTGTGAGGCCTTCGGGGGCCTCGTGTGGTGCTGTTTATGACCAGGGGTTCCCGACCTCTGGGGGTCTGGACCCTTGGGTTGAGCTGCCCTGGGCCACCATCTCGCAGCTGAATTCTGCGCTGTCTTCCAACTCGGGGTCCTGCGGACTGGGGTGGGACCGCCTCCACCCGAGGCAGGTTCTCTGGTTGCCAGGTTCGTACAAGCAGGCGTTTCTAGACATTCTTATGAAATGGGAGTCGGGTCCTGAGGATCTTGAGCCCTGGACCCTCCTCATTTTTTCATGGGCAAACCCGCGCCGCCCACGGGAGTGAGGCCCATAGTGCTGGCTTCCATCTGGGGCGTATGTGGTCTATGCTCAGGCAGCATGTTGCTAGGAATTGGGAACCGTCTCTAAACAATGGCTCCTTCTGGGGAGTTTCTGGACTGACCTGCGACAGAGCACGGCATGTTCACAACATTGTGCAGCGGTTCGCCAGACTCAAAGGATTTTCGGCTGCCAGCGGTATTTTAGATCTCTCGAAGTATGATGAGCACATTTCCCATGAAGATCTTCTTCGGGAGGCCCTGGTCACGGGGTCCCCAGTTAGGCTCCTCAAGTGTCTCTGTGCAGGGTATATATTTCCCAGGCGAGCCAGGTGGAAGTCGTTCATCTCGGACAAGGTCCGAGCCAATGGTGCTGTGGCAGCAGGCTGCAGCTGTGCCCCAGCGTTGGCAAAGCTTCTAGTGCATACAGTTATTGTCACGCTTAAGGCTAAGTTTCCTATGGTGAGGTTTCAACACCTAGTAGATGACTTCCTGCTTCAGGCGATTGGAGGCAGGCAGAATGTTCTCGAGCAGTTTCCACAAGCCATGTCAGAGTTAGTAGAGTCCCTTCAGCGAAGGCAACTTGTTGTTAACTGGGACAAGACGGGTTATATGACCAGTTCAGCGGAGCTGGATTCGGAGCTAAACGAGAGATGGAGCCTCGGCCATGAGCAGAAGCTTCGCAGCAGTAGGTGTTTGGGTACGGATGCCACTGATGGCGCATCGAGGAGTGTTCAAGAGCAGAACAAACGTCTGGCCAAAGCGTCATCGGTTTCAAAGCGTGTTTTTCCCGCTCAGGCAGGCAGGAGCTAGTGTCAGCACTATTATGAAGGGGGTCTCCTACGGCGACGGCGGTGTGGGCGGCGGCGGTCACTGGCATCGCTGACGCTAAGCTAGCCGCCTTGCGATTTGCTTCGTTGCGTGCAGAAGGGGGAATCCCTCCAGGAACCTCTGTGGCGCTTCGTCTGAGGTCGACGCAGCGAGGGTCCACCAGGGACCCTTGGATTGTGCATGTCTGTGATGTAGTCAAGCATTGGGCTTTGAGTGTACACTCCTGCATGCCAGGCATAGGTCCGCTTCGGGCGTGTTTAGAGGAAGCGCAGCCGCTCCTCTTCAAATATAGGCCTTGGGCTCAGGCAGTAGATCCAGCTCAGGCGGCGGTCCTCTCGCTCGCCAGGATTGGATGCCAGTTGCCAGAGGTAGAAAGTCTGAGGCATCCCCGACTCGGAGATTTCAATATTCAGGATTTTTCGCTTGGCTTTTTCGTGGATTTGATTCGGCCCCTGGCCCTTCAGGCGTCTGACGTCAACGCTTTGAAACGTTTGAAGGCGCCCTGGGTTCACCCGTTGCACTGGGGACCTGTAGGCAAGCTGCTCGAGCAGGACTATTCGGTTCGATGGAGTGCGCACCGAGCAGCTGCTATCAGAGGTCTGGTAGGAGGGTCACATTGGCCCCAGGCGCGCTTGCACGCGCGCGGAAAGGCGGGGGATGATCGTTTTTTGCACTGTGGCATGCGAGGCGCGCTTCATCATATATTCTACGACTTCCCTCGGAGCGCCGTTCCTCGTCGCGAGGAATGCCCGGCCCATGTAATGCAGGCAGCCATGTAATGGAGGAAGCTGCAGAGACGATGGCGCGTGGTCTCTTCCCCTCGCCCTCCTTTTGCCTCCCCGTGACGGAAGTCCCTGGAGCAAATCGAGTGCGTTTTGTCAGTGTTTTTCCTGGTTGGAGGTTCTCGGGCTCCGCGTTTGTTGACGGTTCTGCTTTCCACACTCATCTTCAGGGACTGAGCCGGGCAGGTTGGGCCGCGATTCAGGTCAATCGTGCTGGAGAGCTCGTCGGAGCCATGCACGGCGCAGTGCCGCTCCACCAGGCGCCTTCGCAGCCCGCCCGCGACGGGGAAGACTGGGCTTCCCATATGCTCTCTCTCTTTCTCTCTCTCTCTCTCTCTCTCTCTCTCTCTGTTTGCTGAGTGGTCTGTTGATGATCCCTTAGTTGTGCACACCGATTGTGCTGCTTCCTTCG